TTTTGATCTTGTTCGAGGACATTTTGGATTACCATATCGGTGACCTACTGGTTTCTATCTCGGTGACATTTGGTGCTACCTACATCTCCCACCTCTCATCTGTGTATGGGTGTACGAGGTCTGGGCATCGTCTATGCTTGGCCCAGACCACACCATCTCACGATTGTATGTGTGTGGAGTGATATCTGTGCGAGTCAGTCTATGTGAGTCAGTCCGTTTATCAGACTTCCGCTGCATATATGCTCATCCTACATTGGTTGATCTTTGGTTCTGCCCATACTCATTGAAGTATGTAACAGTTTTGGCATCGGAGCAGACCAGTTTACGGATCTGCTCACCAGGTAAGTCTGATTTAGGAAGTAGATTGCTTCTCCAATCTTCCAAATCAGCGCTGTATTACTATCGAGTTCAAAGTTGCAAAATTTTTTCTTTTTTTCGGTATTCTATTTATTTCGGCATTTCCGTTTATATTCGGTATTCGGACTTACCATTCGGATTTCTGTTTTATTTCGGTATGTTGTTTATTTAGGTTCCGATTAATTGATACTAATCCGATAATTTGTTAGGTTCGGACTTCTGATGTGAAAACGTGATTAGGGTTAAAAAACCATTGAATCAGTATCTGTTGAAGTTCGGCATTCTGACTTTCTATTCAGCATTCCGTTTTTGATTATGGCATTCTGTTGTAAATCCTACATTTCGTTTTTCTTTTGGTATTTCCGTTTTCTTTCAGTATTGGAAAGTAGGGTTACGAAATTTTTGGTTGTTCGATCAACTGGGGAATTTCGAAAGTTTTGGAACCGTAATACCAGAAATTCCGCGGAAACGCGGAAAATTAGGGTTGGGCACGAAATTTTCGCGAATTTTTTTTTTCTTTTCCCTTGTTGGAGAAATTCCGAAAACGGATGTAGGCCTTTAAAAATCGGATTTTGATGGTGGAAATTCCCAAAAATTCATGTTTTTGAAAATTCGAGTGTTTTTTCTCCGGATTTTTTCGAAATTTTTTTTTGGCAACTTAATCCGAATCTGACCCTCACATTGCAACTTCCGGGTAGTTCACTAATTAACGGTGAACTCCCGGACCATTATTGATCTCAATAGATACCTAATCTTAATAACAATTCCAATTCGTTCATTATCATTATTGCAAATATTGTTTTGGATTGATTATTATTATTGCAAATATTGTGGTATTGATTACCATTARGAATTATTCTTTCRTTATTTATCATTTATTAATTTTATTGATTAAATAATTCGTTATTACTTCTTCTWATTASGAAYTTTTGGAMTKRTTTATGGGAMATTATTTTTTCTGTTTTGATTAGGTGTCTACAGTCCATCAGTGGGACARGGGACTGTATGCGTATTTTTTKATTGTTCTACCCCTGTTCCCACTCTCYCTACCCTCCCCGTACTYTGTGACCACCGRGACCTCTCAAGTACCACATCAGTTCACACTGATGTCGAYGGAACAAGATACCGGGGCACTSCCACGACGCARTGCCAGGCTTGCAGTTYRCACSCGCCCTGTGGTACCTCCAAGACCCAAGCAGCGACTCRGCAAGCRGAAGACTCCAGCAGCATCAAGTACASCAATGACAGTACYAGTTGCCACCGGGGTTYTTCCCGCATGCCCGGTCCAAGGGGCYGGTGAGCYGTTGGCAACTTACCWTCAGCGGGTACAGGCATTTACAGATGCCGTAGCTACCGCAAAGGCACAGGAGGAGGCAGCAGAGGYGRAATGTCAGCGGCTGGCCAATGAGGCGGCGGCCCTAGCTCAGCAGACTGCTGAGGCTGACGCCGTGGTACGAGACAAGCGGAACGCCATTTGCATGGAGTCCTTGACTACGAATGAGAGTCAGTGGACGACACTGTTCCAGGACATGCTGTTTGTGCCTTCGGAAACACAGGCGGAT